TCACTACCAGTAACATTTGATTCCTTAATATTTTGTGAATTCATCCAAAATCGATGGATTTCGTCAGAAGAAAATTCATCTATATCCGAAAGGGAACTAATTGAAGGCTGATTGTCTAGCAATTCATGCCCTTTTATCTCAATACCACCGGAACTTGTAATACTGTCGATTTGAATATCAAACATCAATCAACGCATTAGCTCAGGTTCAATTTTTCTATTACTATTCGGTAAAGAACCTAAAAATTGTTCATAAATTAGTAAGCCGATTTATTCAAGAAATTCTCAAAAAAAAAAATACCTAATATTCCATTCATGCGTTCAAAAGAAAAATACCAAAACGTATATAACGGATCATAATCTCTTGAGCAATCATACAAATGAAGAGAAAGGTGAAGATTTGGCGTGATTTTGTTACGTCCGTGATTATTTTTAATCAACTTTACCATCTCAATTAGTCTTCGATGTGCTTCATGTAATAGATCTAATTCTACAATCTGGCTTACTAAAATTGTACAAATTCTTACGAAATGTGTAAGAATTTTTCTATCTATAATCAGAAGATGTTCCCAAAATGAAACAGTGGCATATATAGTGAAAAATATTCGTTACTGATCAGCCGTAAAATTAAAAAATCCTTCTCCTTCATAAATTTTACCCAGAATTCGACCCAGATCAGAAGGAATCTAAAACTCATTCATCTTTTTCTGAATCTTATTCAAGGAATTTGATGTCAAAATTCCTTTATCGATTCAGATTTGCTTTAATATCCATCGTGCAATACCTAAAAATAGGCAATGCATTGGATCGATTATGATATATTTTATAGGGTCAAAATATAACAAACGTAATAATTCAGACTATATTACATCACTTTGCTTTACAAATCATTTTCGTGAAGCGTCTGAATTACAGCGTCTCCATTCTAACGCATTTCGATAATGCTCAATTGGATCTCGCATAATAAACTAATCATCGATATTATCCATTCTGGCAAAATTATGCTGATGATTTTCATAATTTGCCTTCTTTTCACATCTATGATATGATACTAAGGCCGAAATATGTCCACATATTTTTCTAGCAGCCAGTACATCACATGAAACAAGAATTAAAGCTATACAAATGTTCTTTCTTTCAGGATGTTCATATGTTTTATTTATTGTAAATCCATCCCAAAGTGATTCCAATTCATCTACAATCAGCGCTAAATAGTGATTTATTTTATGTAAACTAACTTCGCTTGGTCTGAGTAAAAGACCAAGAGTCAGTAAATTTTCACGTTTAAATCAGATATCACGAAATAACGAAAGAAATGAACAAATATAAAAAAATTTTTCACTTTAGAAACACGTAAACACGAAGTGGATCATAGTTACACAATTATTTATGTGTTTAACAATAAGGTACAAATATGACTAAGTCTGACTTTAGGTTTATTTTCTTTTTGCATTATTGTTTGTATTGCAAAATGTCTGGAGACGTAATTTCAAATGAAAATGACGACTATTTCTCAACTTCTTTAGGCAACCCTTCAAAAACATTTTAACTAAAACCATTCATTTTATGGTCTAAATATCGGTCTAGACTCCAGTTTCAAATCGGTCTACAAACCGATCTAGTTCGATTTTACCCTCAAACCGATCAAAATCGAACTTAACACCCTACAAATGGTCACTCTAATTGCAATTCAAATTTGGTTAAACAAAATTTTATTTTACATGTTCTGAAAGAATTTTTTTAATGTTTATTGGATGTTCGTTTGAAAGCTTTCGTTTGAAGTTATTAACTGTTGTATAACAAGCAGAGATTCATTGTATCAATTGCAGTACGTGTTGCCCCTGATGCTGATAAGTAAAGTCCAACTTCCAACTTAAAATCATTCCAGCCATTATATAATATAAACTCTCAATAGTTTTTCTTGCTTCAACTTTATTATGTGCAGATCTGTTAAGTATCAATGCCTTTACTAATTTATCAAAAGTACCTTGTAAAACGTGGATCTGTTTTCTCGATCAAGCTCTAAATTATCACGCTGGTTATATAGAACTCTTGTAAGCATAGTAAATTGTTCGGTAAATGAATAATTTTTCGATTCTATATATAAAAAAAAAAGTTTTAAATTTTAATCATAAATATTATTACTATTCGTTCTATTTTCTTTGACTGGTTCGTACTTGGTACTCATATAATGAGTGACATAATTGTTGTCTATTCATAGGTATGTGTATGCTTCATAAGTCCCTTTTTTTTTGAACTTTCTCGTTATGCTAATGAAGTAATTTATTTACGAAATCGATATATTTGATTATTACAGAATGATTTTTTTGGACCATATCGATATTAAAAGTAGTTGACTGAAAATAATTAAATAATTTGCTATTCATTCAACAAATTAGTTGATTTTATAGTTGATTGCGCAGTATTTAAGCGTGATCTCAGTGGTGGCCAGCTATTTATCACTCCTAATTATATAAATTAATCATTCAACACATTACATAAATAATTTTTATTAATAATATACACTTTTATAAATGGAAATGAAAATTTCACAATGCCATCCAAAATTTTAATTTTATATTTATAGTGAAATAAATTGCTATGCAAAAAAAATTTTTTTTTTTTTTTTTTTTTTTTTTTTTTGATTAAAGAATTCCAATTTATCATTATTTCGAAATATATCATCATTTTTAAAGAAATAAGTCGTTACCTTCAAACATATGTAGTAATAAATAAATATCATTATACTAATTAATAAATGAAATAATAAGATATAGACCGAGGTATAACCATTCAGAAATCGGCGATCAAAATAATAAAATACATAGTAAACGACACGACGTTCTATATAAAGCATAAATTTGTTAAAGTTCGTACTAACATTACAATAATTGAATAAAGAAATAAAGAAATAATTTTTACCAGTCATCATGTTTTGAATCTAATTCAACTTCTGTTAATTTTGGTTCTTCTTTTTTGCTTGATTTATCATCCACTAAAAATTTGAAAGATTCAATTCGCTAAAGATTCATGGATTGTAAAGTGAATTCATCGGGGAAAAGTTTAAGTTTTACCTTGTTCTTTTATGTCATCTTTAATTTCTTCATGAGGATTAAGCTCCGAATTTGTATTCTTTGATTCCTCTTGTATTTTTTCTTCTGTATTATAAGCTCCATCTTCATTTGCTTGTTCTATCAAAAAGTAACCAAGATAAGGTCGATCGAAATCATTCTTGTCAAATTGAATAATTGTCATAATTACATATTAGGCCTTCCCATATCATTGTTCAGTTTGATCATACCCTCTTGAAATTCTTCCTCTTCCGCTTTCTCCGCTTTTTCCAATTTTTTCATC